TTAGCTGTAGAGGGCAGTGTCACTGGCCCTCATATGTGGGATCCGAACCGGGGCCCTCTGGCGTCCCAAGCCAGCTCTTAACCAACGCGCCACTCAGCCGGCCCTCAACATTTGTTTTAAAACTTGTTTCTACACATAGATCTAATTCATAATTTTAACTGCAGTGTGTGTGTGTGTGTGTGTGTGCCCCTTTTTATAAGCATTTATTTCCAGTCTTTTCACAGGAGGAAGAGTGAGGCTGTGAATACCCTCACTCACATTTTGCTTGGGCACATAGACAGTAATATCTTGGTTTGTGAGCATAATTCGTTCTGGAAACAAACTACTTGTATTGCAAGACATTGCTCGTTTACTATGTTAAAATGTATTAGAAATGCTTGTTCGTTTTGCGGAACACTCATAAACCACGTTACTCGCAATCCAAGGTTTTACTGTATATGCAAATTCTTTAGAATGCCTCTTATATTTCCAGTAGAAATATAAGGCGAGCCACATATAGAATTTAAAATTTTCTAGTAGTAGCCACGCCTATAATCCAAAATTTAAGAGTAAAAATACACAGATGGAATTAATTTTAAGAATATATTTTAGGGCTGGCCAAGTGGCTCAGTTATTTAAGAGCGCGAGCTCTGAGCAACAGGGTCGCCGGCTCAATTCCCACATGAGCCAGTGAGCTGCGCCCTAGCTGAGCCAACAGGTGGCAGGATGGTTCAGCTGGTTAGAGCACGTACTCCTAACAACAAGGTTGCCGGTTCAACTCCTGCGTGGGATGGTGGGCTATGCCCACCTGCAACTAAGATAGGACATGGCACCTTGAGCTGAGCGGCTGCGAGCTGCTGACAGGCGGCTGGATGATGACTGGACTTGCTAGCTGCGCCCTCCACAACTAAGATTGAAGGACAACAACTTGGCTGTTCCCCTCCCCCAGTTCCCCAACAATGTTCCCCTTCTCCAATTCCCCAATGAAAAAAAAAAAAGAATATATTTTATTTAGCCCAGTAGATCTAAAATATTATCATTTTGACCTGTTATTAATATTAAAATAATGAGATAACTTACATTCTCTTTTACCTATGAAGGTTTTGAAATCGAGTGTGTACCGTATTTCCCCATGTATAAGATGCACCCTTTTTTGAAAAATTTGGGGTCTAGAAACTGGGTGCATCTTATACAGTGGTTGTAGATTTTTTTTTTT